ACATTAAGCTTTCAGATCTTTGCCACAGACAAAAATCACTAATCTTCTTAGCAATGGTTCTTCTTTGTTCACTGTAATTATTCCAATGCCTTGAAAACTTGAGGCAGCTGACTCACAGCTGCATCTCCTCCTCTGCACCACCCTGCACCATCCTATCCAAAAAAAAAAAAAGAACTCTGGATTGGGTCCTGTACTGGGATGTTGTCGGTGGCATGTGGCGTTACAGGAGCCTGTTTGTATGTGTATGTGCATGCACAGAGGCACACACATGCCGCCGCTGCAACGCTCACATATCAGGATCCTTGTGTAGGACACACTAAGACCATGTTGGGTGTCTGGCAATCTGTGCTGCTGCCTGAGCTCTAATCATTTCAGAGTTGAGACGACATCTGACCGCAGTCATCTGTCAGACTCTTTAAATAAACGGCAAATGTGTCTGCAAAGTCCTGCCAAACCTCTGGAGACACATCTCTACTATTGTGCTATCACAGTGATTACTTATTTTAGCCTTTACTAGAGTCAGCAGTTTGTGGTATGAAGACACACCCTAAGGAAACAACTGCTTTAGTTATATGTTCGTTTTAGGGTGGAAAACAAACTAACCTAAGAATTTCCTGTACAAGATATGAGCCTTGAGACAGTCACTACACTTACACAAAAAACAAGATGTCTGTTTGTACCTGCATCCCAGACTTTCGTAACATTTTCTATTTATGACGCCTTTGATCCACAAAAAGGCTGGAGCACCTGATTCAGTCCAAACGCTGTCTCATGTCTGATCTTCTCAGTTTTTCCTCTGTCTCTCTGTCTGGGGCTTTTGGGTCACAGCATGAGCAGCTTACTGCCCTGCTGCTCTCCTGATGTCAACTGAACTAGATCAGCTGAGCAACAGACCAATACACATTTGGCTGTCAGTGACAGAAATTATTTTTAGACCGTGGACACATATCTGTCGAGAAATGTCCAGATGTAGCACTAGAACAAGGTGACAATCTAATTCTCTCAATGTTACAGGAAGAAATGTTATAGAAATAATGATAACAGGGAACCAAGTCATTGACTAACAGAAGCAGAAGGAGCTTTACTACTCAACGCATCTTGACAGGGTGAAATCAAACAAAGGTTAATTCATGTTTTATGTATGGTATTGCTTTGACATCGATGATTAGATTGATCAACTATTTAGACGAGCTCACGTGGAGAATGATGAAAAAGCAAGATAAGAGATCATCTGTATCATCTTTACTGATCTGTTACTGTCACATTTCAGCCGGACTGATTAGCAGCTCTGTGGATTACAGCCACAAGCTCAGTAATAAAACAAGAATTTGATACGATCAATATTATCTGTCTAGCATCTTAATATAATTAAAATATGCAAATGACTTTAATGTATGTGTGCAAATAGCAGAAATATTTGTGACAGATTACATTAGCATGATGGGAGGATCTTTGAGGTAGAATAAGAGGCTAACTAAGATGATGAGAGATTTAGTCAGTGAACTGGTTTGTAACGTAAACCTGTATGCAGCGTATATCAATAATGATACTGTACTGAAATGTCAGAAAAACACTTATGGTAAGTATGATGTCTGTAAAGTATACTGTAAATACTGTAATAAGGTGTAATAATAAATAAAGTGTGAAACAGGTCTTTTACTGTGTTGCAGAGGGAATCGTGGATGTCAAGCTCCACTATGTGAAACAAGAAAGACCAGCCCGCTGTGGTGATCAGGGATCAGTAGTTTGTGTGTGTGTGTGTGTGTGTGGGGGGGGGGGATCCTGACAATGCTCTATGCTAACAGGTTTCACTCACACAGAGTAACTTGTCTGCTAGTGGCCACAGAAGAAATGCCACCAAAACGGGACATTTTTACATAACCCACAAGCAGCACTTTGGCTAAATGTCAGTTCAGGATGAAACTGGATATAATGTCAGACAATATCCCTGAGGCTGTTCCTCCAATGTGAAATGAATTCACCTTTCACATAAAATGAACTGATTCATTAAATGAGTGAGTAAAACATACCTCTGACTTCTATTTAAATGATTCCTAGAAGTCCATGAATTCATGCTACATTATACCACCCCGAGCTTCTGTGTGTTTTGATATTAAGAAGAAACTACAACAACAACCATCCTGAAGTTGTACAATTCCCAGCATGCATGCTAATGTCAATAAAAAGATGATAAACAAGTAAAATGAATAGTTTGACTTTGTTGTTAAAATCAAAAGTACATAACTAGAAGATGTTTCAGAACGGTAAGGGAAGGTTTTTGTATTAACTTGTTTCTCAGCTTGTAACTGGCAGTGACTGACACAGTGTTAGTGGCTGTACTGATGCAAACTCTGGCTCTATTTTAAAGTTTGTTACTTTTAGCTAGCATTGTCCACCATAAACTTTACAGGTGTGTAGTTGAGATCAAAATAGAGACTGAGTTCAAAGATGGGTGTGGTCCCACCCATGACTACTGAGTACTCGTTGTAGTAATGATTACTAAGTACTTGTGGGTTGGAACATCAACATGCTGATGGGCGTCACGGCTGGTGTGAACCCATCTCAAGATGGTCACAAGTTAAGTTTGCGACTGGCTCAGTCAATCCTTGTATCTTTTATAACAATTACTGAATCTGTTGATTAAATTATTTTTCACTTATGCTTCACTAACTCTGAAAGTGATGTGTTGGAGAGAAGTGCTCCTGCTCAGACAAAGTGCTGACACACTCTTTGGCAGGTGGTTGAGCATTCCACTTTGTTGTGCGATGATTCAATGCAGCTCTTCATTCAGTTTTATATTTTAGCCTAGACACGAACTGACAGGTGGATTCATTTCTTCCTCTGGGTCTGAGATTGCCAACTTGAACTTGATGCCATTTCCTCAGACTTAAGAAATGTTTCATGCTGATGGCTCAACGGTGCATTTATGGTGTAGCTGAGCCATCTGTACAGTGACCTGTTGTTAATACAATTACACAAAATTTGTAAAAAAAAAAAAATATATAGTTATCGTCTGACTGGGAAGGCCCCCAAAATTTTTTGTGTTGATTATTTGGTTCTGAACTTTTGGACTACTCTGTTGCAGGAAAGGAGCTGGAGTGAGCCGTTTTATTTCCACGGGACATTCTCCCACTGGCTTTACAGAGAGTTAATTTGAAACGACGGATAAAGTGGAGAGACATGACGACACGCGGTCAAGGCGAGAAGGAGAGAGAGAGAAAGAAGAGAAAAAGAATGAGAAGAAAGAGAAAGTTAGATTTAACTAGCTAACATTAAGTTAGATAGATTTATTTAGATATATATGTATATAATTATATATATTTAGATACAACAAAACCCAACACAAGGAACGTGAGGGAGAGGAAGAGCAGCTAGAGCAGCAGCACCAGTAGCTGAGCCCGAGCAAAGAGTGGAGGAATGTCACTGCCACACAGGTTTATAGACACTCACAGTGACCACTTCTTTATCTTCTCATGTTGGACTGAGGACAGACTGGACGCTACAGTGACTCACTATCACCTCTTGAGGTACAAATTGATATTACAAGACGAGACAGGCCGCGGCTAGCTGGTTAGCATGCTAACTTCGGTAGACATCTCTGCAACACAATACATAGGCGTTTCACATTCTGTTGATGATCTTAGTTCATTTTTGGATGTTTTAAACTAAACCCTTTAAATAACTTTGCAGTACATTTGACAGAGCTGTTCACAGGAAGGATAAACACATAGCTGCTGATACCTCACACCCACTGCACTCAGAGTTTGAACTGCTTCCGTCTGGCTGTCCATTCAGGGCCCTGAGGACCAGCTGGAACATACAGTATATAAGAAGTCTTTTATTCCCTATGCCATACAGGCATTGAGCACACAATGACTGCATTTGGGAACACTTGTTACTCATTTTCTTATTTCATAGGTTTTGCTCTCTGGTATTTATATAACCTATCTGCTGCCACCTGCTCATTTGCACAATTGTATGTTGTACATGTTCTATGCTTTTAATAGCTTGTTTTGTTATGTGGATTGTATGTATTTTCGTTGTAACTTCTTTGGGAGAAGCCAAAGACAAATTTCCACTGAGGTGGACAATGAAGTCAATCAATCAATCAATAAGGTTGGTGGGGTTTTACTTAGTTTAGTGGGTCAATGTAAAGCCTGGACCATTACTAAAACGTTAGGGACATTTATTGTATACACAAAAGAGTTACGCTATTTGAAACTCCGGATACAGCATTATTTTATGAGATGCTGCATTCACATGCACCTAGAACAAACCCTTCCAGCATCATTACACTATGGAGGCTCCTTATGCTGCTCACCTTCTCTTTTCCTCTGTCCACCATCATCTGATTTCTGGGTTTATGCATCATTCTTATCTGAAATTGAATTGGCACTCCTCGATCTTTTCACGCCATCGTTTGTACAAAACAAAACGCCAACAAATCAACAAACTGCATCAAGAAAAGAAAATGTGATTTACTGTAATGTTAACAGTGGCACATGGCTATCATGATGGACAAGATGCTAGGCAAAAGCCTCTGTGTTTAGTAGTAACAACAGCACTTTTAACCTTTTCAATTATGCATTCACCAGTGGGCCACTGGAGCAGCATGGGAGAGAGTCTCCAGTCAGTAGGTAGCTTAAGTATCAGTTAATGCTCATCTGTCCAGCACAATTGGCGAAGAGCCCTGCTGTAATTACATGATAGATTTGGTTTGTTCAGGGTAACGCTTGTGGTGTGCTTGTGGTGTGTGTGTGTGTGTGTGCATGTGTGTGTTTGCATGTACATGTGAGCACATACTGTGGCTGAGGAACCCCTCCAAGCAGACTGACACGCTGGAGGAATGGATGGGGGAGGCAACCATCATGGTACTTGGTGCATGGCCTAGTTGTGCATGAGGAGGATGGATGGAGGGTCACAGTAGATAGATAGATAGATAGATAGATAGATAGATAGATAGATAGATAGATAGATAGATAGATAGATAGGCTACTCACATTCCAGGTGCTTTTTCTTTGGAGCTGTCTGTTCATGTGTGGTGGATTTACACACAGCTCGGGACACCTCGGATCCCGTCAGGCTGTACTGCGCCGCGGCGATGCGGTCCGTCAGTGTCTGACCCGACATCTTCTCTCCGTGGAGCTCAACCTCGACTATCAAGCGTCCAATAAGGTCCTACCCCCCCTCCCAACACCGAGGTGAATGACCAGCCTCAGTAAAGACCAGCTGCTCAAGAAAACCCCTCAGGAACACAGCACTAGAAAAGAAATGGTAGCACACTTTCTTTCTCTTGCTTTGAGCTGCAAAACAATAAAAACTGGCTGATTCTCACTCAGTTGTTGTTTCTCGAACAATCATGAACTGACTTTCTTCCCTCAAGGCCAGTATCCTCTGGGAATTATAGACTATAGGCAAAACACGCGAGCATATATCCAACTGCACAATCCTATTCCAGGTTTCCCTTTTTCTTTTCGATCTATTTCTTACTGTTCATGTTATTGTTGGCCAGCCTCCCTGACAAAACGCTCCTCTCTCCGGATGATGCAGCCTCCCCCTCCCTGTCTTCCTTCCTCCAGTCTCCGGGATAATCCTCACCACCACCACCACCAGTCCGACCGTCCGTGTGTATCAGCGGGGCGTGCAGGGGAACATCAGGTCCTGGCTGGCATCATCACCCCCCACCATCCACTGCAGCGGTTGTTCCTCCACCTCCCCTGCTGGAAGCTTCCTCTCTGCTGCGGCCCACCTTCAGCCTGCGAGCTCCGGCGATGCGCGCTTCTCACCGGGTAGTTGGATGGCGTTGCTTACAGAGGATTTGCATCCTCTTGTTTATTTAATTATTAATATATTTATGTTTCTCACAACGCCCCGCCCCCTCTTGAGAGTCAGGTGACGCAGTGTTACCAACCCTGCGGCTGCCTCTTCCATCGCGAGAGCTGGGAGGAGACGAGAAAACGATGGAGGTTGCCGAACGTGAGAGGACGTGAAGGGTTAATAAGGCTACTCCTCAGCGAGGCTTGATGCTCGTCATGCTGCTGCCACACTATGAAGGTCATGTGAAGCGCGCTGCTTCACTTCACATGATCTTCTTTGATCAAAGAGGCATTCAAATGATATAAAACTGCAGCCACTCGGGACATGTCTCTGCCTCTGTCCATGGTGCTGATATGAGCTGCTCTGGTGTCACTGCTGTTAGTGTAGTATGTGTTTTTATTGATTATTGTATTTTTATTACTTATGCATTAATTTGACATAAATGCTGATTGTGTAATAATGCATAGGTAATAATAATGCATTATGATATAAAAATAATATTCTGAAAGGGGCCATTCTGCTTAACAAGTATTTTTACTTTTGGTATTCAAGCACATTTGCACGCTAACAATACTTCTTTAGTTTTAGTTATCAGAAACGTGTAGCTTGTGGTGGAATATTTTTACACTTGTACCGCTATTTTAACTTAAAAGGATCTGTGCATCTTCTACAATATCATATTCACTCACACCACCTTATGTGATGAATTCTGGCCCCTAATGGAGAGTATATAAACACCTAAGACCCAGTTTGTCTTCAACTATCTTGCACATACAGCCTTGTTGCAATTTCACATATTCATTCAGACACGCACAAACACGCAAACATGCCTTTCCAATGGGAGGGGCAGTTATTTGTAAGTTTGTGACATCTATATTAGTTTAAAGTAGGGTTGCACAATTAATCGAAATATAATCGAAATTGCAATATGGCCAAAATGTCAAGAGGAGAGAGACACAGCCCATGTAACCCTCCGTTAGAAATCTTTATTAAGTCACATCGATATGGAATGGCACAGCATCTTCACTTTGTCCCAAAGGACCCACATAAAATGTTAAAAGTCAGTCATCAAAGCTGCTCCATATATACAAATAATTAAAATTAAATACAATAGCTTTTGAAAAGTAAAATAATCATTATAAATACAAAAAAATGTACAAACTATTTTCCCCCATTTGTATTCCCTTCTTCTTAATGTACAGGTTGAGGTTTTTCACTAGTGTTGATCAGTTATGTGTTAATACCCATGATCCTCCCCTCACTGTGTTCTCACGTCTTGATAAGTCCCTCTAGAAAGTCTTTCTCCACCATCTCCTCGATGTTCTGTCGAGCTTGACTCCAGAAGACTTTCTGGCTCTCCAATTTGTGGCCCTCCTTGTGGCCGGGGAAGGAGGAGTTTGCAGGGTTGTGGGTGTAGGCGGGACCTGAGCGGCTGCTGGCCTTGCTGTTGAACACCTGGCTGAGCAGGTTGAAGAAGGGTAACAGCTGCTCCATGCTGCGGATCACATACAGGGTCAGCATTAGGTGACCTGGCTCCCAGGACAGGGTTCGGGTGGAGCAGTCCTCCTCTGGGTTTTTCTAAGGGAAAGGGAATAGATACCAAATTACTTAGATACCAAATCAGAGTAGAAAAATTAATGTGCCTTTCTGCAAGTGGAGGGAACTGCAGCATGAATAAAATGAGCTGCAACACAAAAAAAGAAAATGGTGTCCTTTAATCAGCGTTTCTGTGAACAGACACTTTGAAAGAGGCAGTCGTTTCTCTCCATCACTTAATAACCTTGTGTAGACAGAGGGAGGATGAGATACCTTAGCTCGTTTCCTCAGCAGCTTGGCCAATCGGACCACGTAGGGCTTAAACTCTCTCTGATGAGTCCCCTGGCGTCTCACTTCCATTCCTGAATCGTCTGAAGCCTCCGGGATGAAGGCCCAGCGGTACCTATAACAAGGCAGAACTCACTCACTATTTTGATCTATTTAATGAGCCACTAAAGCATTAAAGGAGCGACATCCAAATATCTTATTCATGTGACCATGCAAATACACACCACATACTGAGAGTTGGGTATTTAAAATCATCATTAGAAATGATGACAGGCACACATACAGAATTTCAACTTTCAACAAATTATGTGTGTTAATGATTCCCTGACCCAGTCCTGTCACATGCAAAGCCTATTATCACCCATGCTTGTTTGTACTGACATCTGGAACTGAGGAAGGCTCTCAGGAGGCAGAGCCAAGGCCAGATCAAGGAGCTTGCAGGCAGACAGATAGAGGTTGAGCCAACGCTGGCTGTTGTAGGAGGTGGAGAAGCCGTTCCCTCCAGAATAGGTGGTCTCCAGCCCAGCCACAGACGGCCCTGATGTCCTAGAGATGAACAGGAGATGATAAATTATTTAAAGAACACAAGAAGAAGTCATTTTTGATGTTCATTTGCTGCTGAAATCCAGTTTGTAGTATCAACAGATACCTTGATATGTCTTCATCTGCTGTTAGCTCCTGCTCCATCAGTAGAAACACTTGAACCTACAGGAAAACAGTTGTATGAGTCTATGAATGAATGAGTGTATGTGTGTGTGTGTGTGAATCTATGTGTGAGTAGGTCGATACGTGTAGAGGACTCGAAGAAAGAAACATGATGGTAAAGTAAGTGAGAGAAAGAGACCGCAGTCAGTGACATCTAGTGCTCACCAGCTCGGTGATCATGGTGGGCCACAGGGAGGTGAGGTGCTGAGGTGACATGCGCAGCAGCAGAACTCTGAAGAACAGGAACACCTGAGCATGGAGGATGGGCACCTGAGGCAGACGCAGACTCTCCACCAGACGCTCTGAACACACACACACACGAAAACACACACGAACATGCACGCACACACGCACACACGCACACACACACACACACACACATCTACAGTTAGTACTCGCTCATTGAATGTGATAAAACACCTAAAATCTTCATCTGTCAGTATAGATCTGTAACACAAGGTTTTCAGGTGCTAGATCATGAAATCTGTAGCTGCCATATTGTAGATCTTCAGAACTTGTCAGCTCCAGCCTCCACCAAGGGTGTCAACTCCTGAATGTATGATTTGGTTGATTTAACACAGTCCAGGCTTCATTTTTTACGCTGCTTGTTGAGGGAAATGGTCCCCCAAAGCAAAGGTGTTAAGTGCTGCTCCATGTCTCTGTGTGTAGTCTTTACCTTGTATGTCTGGCAGGTATTTCTGGTACTGGTCCACTTCGCTGCTGTAGATGGTGAAGGCCAGTCGTTTCAGTAGCATGGCCCTTTGTTCCAACTCAGCGTCTCTGTTAGTGAACAGGCTCAGAGAGCTGCTCTGAGCTACAGCCACCCGGGCTGGAGAGGGAAACATACACAGTCTTTAATAGACTTGAACTATATCACATTAGCATATTTTTTCAGCTGAATGGGCTGCGGATTTAATTCGAGTGGAAATAAAAGTGCTTGTTTTGATCAAAACACTTTGCAGGATGCAGGTTTAATTATGTCTGACATAAGACATGAAAAGGGCAAAACACTCTGCAAGTGTCAGTTACGTAATCATGATCTGGTAAATGGTCCATAACCACACCTAGTGGTAAGATCTACACTTATTTATAAACTAAACTGTGCTAAAGATTCGCGAGGCTTACTCATGAGGTCTCTGAATGTGGTCTTGTCGTGAGTCATCAGGTGGTCAATGATGGCTCTCCAGCTGAAAAATGAGAGACATTATCTTAGACTAATTTTTCCCCAAACATAGTGAGACAAAGTAACAAACACAGCCTCTTATATCTGGCATTAACATGTGCCATTAGAAAATATAGGTATCTTTTAAACACTTTGACTTTAAAGTGCATCTCTTCTGCTTTTTCAGCAAATGGCAGACTGTGAGGAAGGTCCTTTATTAACATACTGTGCATGTAAACTGTATGTAAGGCACAGTCTTGCCTCTTCCACTGTACACATATATAGTAATGCATTTTGAACAAATACATGAATATCTAAGCTTTTTGTTTGATGATGCTTTAGAGTTGGATTTGTGGGTGACTGCATTTCTATTTGCATACTTGATGTAGTTATATGACGTTAAAACCAAGAGTCAACTCAGACTAAACTGGACTTGTGTTTTGTAAGAAGGAATCTAATGGACATATTATTTTAGTTGCAAAAATATTGCCCAATTATTTTCAAGAAATACTGATAATAACTGACTTACCCACTTCTTTAAAAATGTGTTCTACCTTTATTTTGTAGGATCCTAAGTACATTTTCTACATCCTGAGTAAATGTGTTTCTTTTTTTCCTCCATCTCAATGTAATCATTTAGGCTACATGTTAACAGGAGCTATAAAAGTGGTCACCCACACACAGCCCACATCCCTCCTCTACTCACTGACTGACGCAGGAGGAGTCCATCTGGAAGAAGGTGTGGTCCATGAAGAGGTCGAAGGCCTCCTTCTTCCAGGCTCGGCGGGTGTACTGGTACCCACTTAGGCTGCTTAACAGTTGGATGCAGGCCCGGTAGCTGGGGGCGTTGTGAGCACTGCCAGGAGAAAAAGGAAACATTACACTTTCAAATTCAAAACGTGCATTTGATCAGCTGTGACTCATTTTCACACTTCATCCCCCTTCGTAACATGAAAAGATTTTATTTTCTCCTTTTCTTGACATTTTCAACTCAAATAAATAGTGGTATTTGTAAGTTAAAGCTGTGTAAAACACAATGTTAGCATCCAAACACAAACACACACTGAAAGTCAAAGTCAA